TTTTTTGTGGTACCGGGGATTGAATTCAGGACCTTATGCTTGCCAGGCAGGCACTTATTCTACTGAGCTGTCTCCCTGGGCCGTGTGTGTGTGTGTGTGTGTGTGTGTGTGTGTGTGTGTGTATTTAGGACAGGGTGTACAGGGTCTCAATGCATAGATAGGACTCATAGTGATCCTCCTGTTTATAACCTCCTAAGTGCTGGAATTACAGATACACACCACCACACCCAGTGTCAATCTGGATCTCAGTGCACCCTGGGGGCAAGGCCAGCATGGCATGCCTGTGATCGAACTCACAGCCCTGCATCTGCCTAGGCAGGCACTTTAATCCGCTGAGCTATTTGGCCGGCCCTGTATTTTCCATTTTTAAATAGTGAATTTTATGTTCAGGAATATACCCATGCTTAGTTAGGACATTTTTTTTAAGAAACTTATTTTATTTTGAAGAGAGAAAAAAAAAAATAGAAACAAAGACAGAATCATGGTAACATACAACAATACATGTTACAGAATTTCAAAACAAGAATAACTAATTAAAAGTGTTATTTAGGGGCCGGGGAGTTAGCTCAGTGGAATAAGTGCTTCCCTGGCAAGCTCAAGGGCCTGAGTTCAATCCCTGGTTCTGAAAAAAAAAAAAAAAAATAAAAGAAAGAAAGAAAGAAAGAAAGAGTGTTATCTATTTTTATCATCAAATCTGTTGCTCAGCTTAACAGATATAGTTATGCAAGATTAGGACAGCAGTATGTAATACAAAGTCTTCTACATGTGTGCCATTTCTATCTTATTACACTGTTGTTAATATTAATTTTTAAAAAGTTTTTAAAAACAGACAAGGGGTATTTTTAATGCTTTTTGTTACCTTATAATTTCTTTACATTTGTGAAACTTGTACATTTGTTGAGAAGTTTTATTTGTATATATTGTGTTCTTTTTGTTCTGTCACTAAATGGGTTGTTTTCTTCCTTCATTTTCTAAGTGTATTGTATCATCTGTAGATAATTTTACCATTTTCCTTCTATTTTTTATGCTTCTGCCTGCCTTTGCTTCTTGCATTGACTGATTAATAATGTTAAATAAAAGAGATGGTTGTAAGAGGGCATGTATGTAGAGTGTGTTGTGTTTCATCATTAGACCTTAGGCTACTTTTTGTGTTAAAAAGTACTCATT